CTCTTTTGAGTGCTTACTTGGTTTTTGGTGATTTTTCAAGAGTAGTGATGCAGTGTTACTGATACTGGAACCCCGGAGCGTGGCCTACGCACACTCACGTTATAGTAGACGTCGTTAAATCGGCCCTTCCTGCTGAAGGCTGGGCCTCCCTTTCTTTTAATCTGGAAGATGACATCTGGTGAGATAGTCTCTTAAGATCCATGAAATAGCAGCCAATCACTGTATTTATCAACCTTTAAAACTATTGAGTTTACTATTCCTATCATTGTGTTTGGCGTTATGTGACATTCATTCAACAAATAATTCAGGGTCCCTGCTATGTAAGTAGTGTGTACTAGACGTTTTAATTGAAAACTTTTTGGAATAAAAAGGGCCAGGTGCGGTGGCTCTTGTCTGTAATCCCAGCACTTTGGGAGTTCGAGACCAGCCTGACCAACATGGTGAAACTCCATCTACACTAAAAAAAAAAAAATAGCCATGTGGTGGTGCACGCTTGTACTCCCAGCTACTCAGGAAGCTGAGGCTGGGGAATCTCTTGAAGGAGGCAGAGGTTGCAGTGAGTCGAGATCGTGTCACTTGCACTCTTACCTGGGCGACAGAACATGACTCCGTCTCAAAAAAAAAAAAAAAAAAAAAAAGGAAGAAAGAAAGAAACTAGTCAACAAAGCAAGTGCTAACAAATGGTTATAGGCCACTTCATCTTAACATTTGATGTGCATGAAGTCACCTGGCAGTTGGTTGAAATGCAGGACAGGTTTGCGATTCTGCATCTTTATAAGCCCCCAAATGATGTTGATGTTGCGAACCCTGAACTGCACTTTGAGTAAAGAGCATCTTGATCACAGAATACCAAGGAAAGCATAAAGTCAGAATATGATTGATATAAAGTGGTGTGGGTTCCTAAAGGCCTGTGACTTTCCTGAAGACGATGAGCTTGAGCCAGGTGATTGAGCATATGATTGGCTGAGGGAATGAAAAAGCGGAAGAAACAGCATAAATAACAAATTGCATTGGAAGGAAGGGAGCAAAAAATAAGTTGAGGGTTGAAGAGGATTTTCTCTGACTTCAATTAAGAATATTTAGGAAAACTACAAAAAATGGCACTGAAGATTTACTGGTGGGGTAAATCCACCTTAGACGTTACCAATCCCGATTAATTTGGTGTAGTTGAGGAAACCAAGCAGCAATACAATTTCATTAGATAATGGCAGAGCTCAGAATGGAAGCCGAATCTGAGAAATTCAGATTACAAATACCTTACAGAGTCCTTGATATAAGAAAAACCACTTGTCATTGTTTTTGTTGCAAGGTGAAAATATGAGGGAAAACAAAAGCGAAGAGTCCCATAGGAAATAATAATAATCTTCCCTAGACCAAACCTTCCCCGAAACTCCAAACAAGCATGGAGTTTTGAGGGAGGTTTGGTCTAGGGAAGATGAGGCGGTATCAGGAGAAGAGACTAATCGGAAAAATTTTGTGTTTTCCTGGATTGTGACACCTGCGACCAGCTGATTAAATCATCCATTTATGTAAGAAAAGGGGAAAAAACTTCCCTCCATCCCTCGCATGGTCCAATGAAGCATTTTTCAACCCTGACTTCACATCAGCATCCCTGTTTTTTTCAATAGGAATTCCTGAGCTCCACCCCAAAGGAATTTAATCAGAATCTCTGAGAGTGGAGCCCTAGAATCAGTATTTTTAAAGGCTCCCCGGGTGATTATAATGTGCAGCCAGTGTTGAGAATCACTAATCTAATATACAGTCACCAGCTCATTTTGTAGGCTTCGTTTCTGCCCCTGAACATTTCCTCCAGTGTTAACTATTACACTAGCACTAGATCATTTTTAATACTGGGTGTGTTTTGTGGTGGATTTTGATGGTTTATAGCACATTCTCTAAGCTCAATGTCTTCCATCCCTCATTAACTGTCATGGTTTAGTTGTGAACACATCCCGATAGCTCTCATTGGCAAGAGAGGGAACAGTGATTTGGCACATGACTGGATGGAAATGATAAACCTTGTTTATGAACCTATATGGTGCCATAGTGTGGCAGTGCGGTTATTTTACTTGATTTTATCTTTGCTTTAATAATCTTCTTTAACAGCCTCTTTAGGATTAGAGCCGATGAATGAGCACTTAAAATAGCGACTTGGACCATTGGAACTTTTATTTTGCGTCTTCTCTTAAAAAAAAATCGTTATTTGGTGGGAAAAAAAATCTGAATGTGACAAGGGTATTTAGTGTTTTCCTTGGTGACTAACTTTTAAAACTTACATTGATTCACTGATTCCTCTAAAATTGATTGAGTACCTAGTATGTGTCAGGTACTTTTTCAGACAGGAGGATGACAAGTGAAGAAAAGCATTTTCTCTATTTTCTCTGTCTTCAAAGAGGAAAGATGAGCGCAGTGAATTTCGGGTATTGTATTTATCCAGCCTGGACATTTAAAAGGTACTTGGCTTTCCCGTACTGTCTTGAGATGCATTTTGTATTTTTTAAAATTCGCGTATTTAGTTTTTAAAAAAGAAAACTAATGTATGCGGTTCAAAAACCAAAGAAATTATTTTCCCTCTCATTCTTGTCCTGTGTCCGCTTAATTCCCTCTCACACCCCACAGAAGCCACTATTAATTTCTTGCCCATCCTTTGAGAGTAGTTTTAATATGCCAGCAAATATAAACATATTCTTATTTTCTCCTATTTTAACACTGTTCTGTATCTTTTATAAATTTTAAAATATCGAGAGGATATCTTTCTATATCGGCACATTCTGTTTTCATTTTGTCGTTCTTCCATAATATTCTATTGCCTCAAAGTACCACAGTTTATTTCTCTTACTGCTATTGATGGTAATTTAGGTTGTTTCCAATCTTTTGTTACGAAATTACATAAACAACCTTGTGCAGCATCTGTGTCATTTTGCCCTTGTGCACATGAAGTATTATCTGTAGGATAAATTTCTGCAAGCAAAATGACTGGGTCTTTTAAAGGGTGTATGTTAACACTCTTGATTGTTTCCTTAAGATAAATTCCTCGGCATGAAATTCCTGGGTTGACTAACATAAATACTTTAAAGGTTTTTGATATTTACTGAGAAATTGCCATCTAGAGAGTTCATACTGATTCATTTTCTCACTTGCATGGTATAAAAGTACCCATTTCTCTGAAACCTTGCTGGTATTGGAAAATACCTTTTTAAAAATACGTCTTTATTTCCTGGGTAAAAAAATTGTATATTTATTACCTTAGCATGCATTTCTATGAATAAGACATAGTTTGAACCTTACCATATGTTTATTAGCCATTGCATGATTAGAGATTTGTCCATCTCTTTTGTCTAGTTTTGAAGAATTTTTATTTTTCTTAGAGGTTTGTAATACATAATACACTAATCATAATAATGATCTATTTCTTAAACCTTCACCTTTTTCCAGGCACTGTGCTAAGCATTTTTAATTGGTCCTATGTATTATAAATATTTTATCTGAGTTTAGTATGTGTCTATAATCCTTATTTAAACATTATTTCTTCTTAAACACCTATGGAAGCTGTACAAATTACGTGATAAAACAAATCAATCTTTTATGTGTTTTGTTTGCTTGCTTCACACATAGGAAAGTCTATCTACTCTAAAATCAGATTAGCATTCACTTTAGTTTTTCTAGTTCCTGCAGGACTTTAAGTAATTTTTAAAACCTGAATTCATGACTATTTACAAATGGTTAGCAAACTACAATGTAACTATCTTCTTCTGTTTCAAGAAAACAATGTTATACTTTTTAAAGCAATTATTTTTACAAATACAAATAACTAAAAACATAGGGGCAGGGGAAGGACTAAAACTGCCCACAATCCCATAAACTGAGACAATCTCTATTAACATTTACAGCAAATCTAGTTAATTTTCTAGATGTAAATAAATATCTGTATACTGTGTATTTTTTACAGAAATGGCATTATATTATGCATATGTTGTATCACCTGCTATTTCCCCCTCTCTCCGCATTGTAGGGTGAACAACATCTTTTCATGTCAATAACTCTTCATCCTCATCATTAACCATTGTATAACAGAGAACTCTTTAATGAGGTCAATTTCCCCTCCAGAAGCAGGAAACCTCACCTGGATGTTTGATGTTCATCCATTCAGAATTTCCTAAGGCAGTTTAATTCCATTGTTTCTCAACCACTTTCCGTTTCTTTGAGAGCCTAACTGCCCACAAGAAAAGGGGAACGCAGTGGTCAATCATTAACCTGCTCCAATTTGAGAGACAACTCAGAAAGAAAACAAAAACACTTTTTTTTTACAAGATGTAGTTCAAAATCTTGTAGATTTGTTTTTTTTCTGCAATTTGCTTTCACTCCTCTTTCCCATACGCCATTGTCTTTGTCTCCCTAGCCTGCGAGCATACCTCCCTTCAGATAATTTTTAACTTACGCTGTTTATTTCCTAACAAAAATAATGGCATGACTTGCTCTCCCAGAGCTCTGACCTTAGGTTTGTTCTAGCTGCAACACTGGTATACACCATTCTATTAATTATGAATGTATTCACGTGTATAGAGGCAATGGTAGACCAGTGGTAATGTTACCTTATTCTGGAGACTTACCCTTATAAATAAACAATGAGATGCTTCTGTGAAATGCCTTTAGCAAAGGCAGGGGAAAGCATTACTTCTCAAAAGACTGTATATTTGAGAGATTGAAAACTGATACCAAAGGCTTCTCAATAAGATATAAACCACTTATGTGGAAAAAAAGAAAATAACATGAAAGAATTGAACTGGAAATTCTATAATGCTAACTTGGGGGCCAAAATTTTCTAGATGGCAAGTGTAAACTCTAAGTGAAGATCGGGGAATCTAAAATAGATTCTTGGAGATGTAGGAAAACTGATCTCTGATCCTCTAAATACCTATGTTATACATTTAAAATAAATCACTACACTTAAAAATCTGAGATAAGGTGTTATTTATAATATGCTACATTCCCATCATATCCCGTTAAAGATGGTATTGAAAAGTTGTGTTCAATAATTCCAATAAGAGATTGGTATGCATGATTGATTTTTATTATTAAACAGCATTTTTTTCTGTCTTAACTAACTTATATTAAGCTTGTGTATTAAGCTAGCTATCCAAGTCTAGATACGAATTAAAACAGCTTCATGAAGCACAGTGGCCACTGGCTTCCTGGGACGATTTTTTTCTGCACTGTATATTTTAGTCCAGTTTCTAGCACATAGAAAATGCTTTGTGGTTGCCACTAGAGGGCAAATAGCCTCCTGGACCTCTTTGACCAAAGAGTATCTTGGTCCAGGCAGCCAGAGTTTTAAGGTCTCATCTAAACCAGTCTTAAATCTTGCATTGCCAATTCTTCGTCAACTCTCCAACTCAGCAAAGTCAGAATATTTTAATTTGTTTTCAATCAAAATTTAAATATGGTATTTTCCCAGTCCATTTACATGGCCCCTATTTCGGATGATAGATCTCTTCCCTGAGGGCACTAACTTCTGACCACCTTATCCTACCCCTTTCCCAACTAGATATTAAACCCCACTGCTCTGCCAGCAAGGTGATCTAACTTCACAGCATTCAACAGCATTCTTAGACCTTGGGGTGACATAAAAGGCACTTCCCAGTCGGATGCGTTTCTGCTTCCCTTTCCAGTCTCTCCTCCTGCCATTCCCTCATAGTCCCTTTACTCTGCACCAGTTCAGAGTTCTGGCACTTTCTCAAATATCTGCTGTTATTTCATGCCCCTGTGTCTTTACTGAAGCTGTTACTTCTACCTGGGATGCTGGCACTGCCCACCACACACGCTGAAGACTCAGTTGAGGTACTACCTCTAAGAAGCCTTCTTCTTTTGCTGGTCCCCTTCTTACTCCACTAGAGCAACACGTTTAGCTTTCCCTCCTCTGTGCTACTCTAGCATTTTTTACACACCTCAGTAACCAACTCTTCTCTTGTGATTTTGTCTAGGAGAATATGAATATTCAATCTATTTTGAAATGTCAGCTCAATTGTTTTGTCTTTTCTTTGCTGCATTAGGAATTGCTAGGAGTTCTAGAAGAGGAACGGAATGCAAACAGTGACTCCCTTCCTCTCCAGGAAGCAGAGACCTGAAGCCCATGATGGTGGTTTGTGAAGACTGAGCTCTCTCTGCCCTTGAGTAAGGAAGTACAAGATTTCTGCTTGATAAAAATGTAGACTGCAATGCTAGTTTAAAAAAACAAGTAGGGCTTTTGGTGTAGAGAAATATTTGGAAGCTGATGAGACTGAGGTGGACTGGAAAAGATTTGGAGATGCCAAACATCACAACTCAGAGACAGGAAAGTGCTCTGAAAATATAACAGCTGCCTGGAGGTGCCAGGTGAGTGGGCTTGGAGAAGAGCCACGATGAGGGCCACTGTTGGAGTCACACTGAACAGTTCGCAGCCCTCCCCAGAGGTCTATACTGTTAAGCGTCGATTCTGCTTCATGTCGACAATTAATCATGGGAGGTGATTCTCGGCCTATGATCAAGTTCTTTTTTATCCAAGCAAAAATAAATAATTCCTCAAAATTATCAAAATCATCAAACACAAGCAGAGTGTGAGAAACTGTCACAGCCAAGAGGAATCTTAAGGTGACATGTGGTACTCTAAATGGGATCCTGCAAAAGAAAAGGAACGTGGGGGGAAACTAAGGAAATCTGAATAAAGAGTTTAGTTAATAATAAGGCATCAGTATTGGTTCATTAATTAAAATTATATATACCATACTAAGATAAGATAATAATATGAGAAATTGGGTGTGGAGGTATATCCAGTGTATCTCTCTTTCCAATGTCTCTGTAGATCTAAAACAGTTCTGAAAGATAAGGTTTATTTAAAAAGGAGGAGGAGGAGACAAACAAACTAACCTGTGAGGATGTGTTCTCCAAAACCCTCAGGACACTGGAAGCACCCAGGGGACCTGAACTCATGAATTTTTTCAGTATAGAGTTTGATTCATGCTGACATTCTTCATGGCCAGTGCACAGTACCTGGTTTTAACAAGTGGTCAATGCATAGTTATTGAATTAAAATTCACTTCCAGTAAAGAAGAAGCAAGAGGCAATAAAGAGAATGTTTTTCTTCTGATGATAAATAAAACTACAAAATATATTTTGTGTACTTAAGTTGATTAAAAAATTTTGTAGTTGATTAAAAAATATTCAGTTCAACGGAGTTTGCCCTGACATTTGGAAAGAATGTTATAAGAAAAGCTATGGTCTTTGTGCAGAAAGTAATGCAAGACTCCATCCTTTAAGAATACTACTATTTTGCCAGGCACGGTGGCTCATGCCTATAATCCCAGCACTTTGGGAGGCTGAGATGGGCAGAACATGATGTCAGGGGTTCAAGACCAGCCTGACCAACATGGTGAAACCCTGTCTCTACTACAAATACAAAAATTAGCTGGGTGTGGTGGTGCGTGCCTGTAATCCCAGATATTTAGGAAGCTGAGGCAGGAAATCACTTGAACCCGGGAGGCAAAGTTGCAATGAGCCGAGGTCATGCCACTGCACTCCAGCATGGGCAACACATCAGACTCCATCTCAAAAAAAAAAAAAAAAAAAAGAATACTACTATTTTTTTCTGATGTTAACCTGAAGGAAAACCATCCTTATAAAAATAAGATGTTAAAATCAGGGAAGAAAATACACAAATAGAGATCAGGTACATAATGTCTAGTAGCTTTACTTAAAGAACAAAGGTTTGATATCTCTTTCATATAAAAGGAAGCAAACATATTAAAATTCTCCTAAGTACTAATAGTTGAAGTTCATAGACGGAAAATTCAAAGTGCTCATATTTGTTTGATATAAAATTGTTCTCTGATGCTTTTTTAGTTTAGTAAAAGTCGCTTGACAAATGATACTGATTAAATAGCATTTTATCCATGAGGGATTACTTCAAAATAATTTGTAATATAGACATTGTATTTTTAAAGTTTGCCTACTTCATGATATTTCTCTTTCGGTATGGTAAGGTATAGTAGAAATTTTATACTTAAAAGAAGAAGATGTTGCAGAAAGGAAAGATGGCCAAAAAATAAAGGTTAAGATCATCAATTTGAAAGCTTTTCTCTGCCCAGATTCTCCACACTGACTGAATCAGGTGGGGGTCTTGCTGACAACTCAGGACTCTGTTAGACTGCCTTGCTTATCACAAGGGCGACTGTCAGCCACACAGATATAAAGCTGTAACCCTCTCTCCTTGGCAATGAAGTAAAAACCAAACTGATTTTTAGCTTGAACAGACAACCCATACTGATAGTTTATTATTGGCATATTGAGAAAGGTAAAAGGGTCATTTTTTGGTACTCTCAGAATAAATGTAAGTCAGTGATGTTTTAAAAGGTTCTCATGTCCAGATGATGGTAATTAATTACACGAGATAGATTTGGTGTTTCTCTCTCAAAATAAAATAAATGAAAGGACTAAAGAAAAGAGGAGAGAACAAAGAAATACACGTAACTGAAAGCAACAGGTAGTAAGAGCTCTGGGTGTACATAGAGAGGAAAGAAAAGTGGGTAGATAACCTCTCTTCCTGCCAATAACTCTATGGGTTGACTATCTTACCTGCTCTAGAGCCTACTATGCTTGTAATTTTATGTGCCTTTTTTAACTTTCTTAACAACTTCAACAAATCAATTATTATGCATATAATTTTAAAAAGGAGGATGCCAAAGGTCAGAGAGTTTAGTAACAGATCCAAGGTCACCTACCCAGTAAGAAGCAAACCCAGAGGTCAAATGTAGAACTCTTTGATTCTATAAACTGTGGAACCTACCTCTCAGAATTTCCCTGTCAAAACTTTTCCAGAATGATTTGGGATTAGAAATTTTTATTGGTTTCTAGTAATAAGAGGTACCAAAAATCCAATCCATTGTTGAAACTAATTGAACCTCATCAATTATTTCAACTTTTTTCTTTTTGTATCTTTCATCTTTGTTATCTTTTGTGATCCATACAAAAAGGTTTTCTTATTTATGCCAAATTCTTTATGCTATACTATGATACAAACCAAGTCAATCTGAAATTTATTTCACTGGTCCCATTATTATGCTACATCTGCACACAGAATGTTGAGAGCAATGCACAAAATCTGATTTTCTGTATATGCTATTTGCAACCCATATAGTGTTTTAATTTTGAACATTTCTTTTGGTTAATTATTATTGTTTCCAGTTCTCTGTAAAGTTTTCATCTTGACTCTTAATTTCTTAGAATATCAGTGGTGGCCATTTTAAAGTCTGTATCTGAAAACACCATTATCTGGATCCCACTGTAAGTCTGTCGCTGGTGTCTGTTTTTCTTTTGCTTGTTGGTCACATCTTATCTCCTTGTTTGCCTGGTACTGTTCTTTTCTTTTGCTTTCTTTTCCTCTTTTCTTTTCCTCTGAGATAGAGTCTCGCTCTGTCACCCAGGCTGGAGTGCAGTGGGCAGGGTCTCTGGCTCACTGCAACCTCTGCCTTCTAGGTTCAAGTGATTCTCCTGCCTCAGCCTCCTGGGCAGCTGGGATTACAGGAATGTGCCACCATGCCTGACTAATTTTTGTATTTTTACTACAGATGGGGTTTCAACATATTGGCCAGGCTGGTCTCGAACTCCTGACATCAGGTAATCCGCCTGCCTTGGCCTCCCAAAGTGTTAGGATTACAGGTGTGAACCACCATGCCTGGACTGCCTGGTTGTTTTCCATTGCCAGATATTGCATGTGAAAATTGCCACAAGACCCTGTATGATGCTTTGTTCCTCTAGAGAAAACATACACACATTTTTGGCAGGCAGCTACGTTAGAGGCAGAAAGTAACCTCAAAACGCCTTAATCCAGTCAGCAATTGGAGATCATCTGAGCTTGAGTTTCTGTTCCTGTTAGAATTGATATAGTTCTAGTTCAGTATTATCCTTAGGTATAGCTCCTCTGGATACAGACTGCCTGCCTGAGATATTTACCACGATCCCTACTCTGTAACAAACATCGACCTCCCATTTTTTTGTCCCCCAGCTCCATGAGTCTATTTAGCTGTCTCAGTTTCCATCCTTTAAGCCACAGCTTTCAAAATCAGCAGTCACCTTTAGGAGAAAAGTGAACCCAAGTACCAGGCTTCCCTCCATGTACTTCCATCTTCTTCCTGCTCTTGACTCTATAATCCTTCACTGTCTTGTTGACTCTGCAAAAATTTCAGATTTTAATATTTTTAAATATTTAGTTCCGCTTCTGTAGCTGTTAGTGGAAAGGTTGATCCAAAACAAACTAGGCCATCATTGCTGGAAGAGGATTTACCCATAGAATATCAATTATTTTTACTTACTGTCAATAAACACATATAGTTTCAATTTAAATCGAGATAGTTGGTTTCTCACAAAAAAATTAGGAGCTATGGGAAACTGATCCCAAGTTCCTGCAAGTTCCTGTTGCTTACATCTTAGTCTCTTATACTTTTATTCATTTCTGCCACTTGTCTGGCCCTTTTAGGCGTTTGCTTTTGTGACCTCTGGTTCAAGTGACTAATTACAAACTAGGCAACAGGGATCCAAATAAAATAACCCAAGTTCTTCTCCCACAATATCATTTAGCACTCAGCAGCAACACAGATCTTGCTTAGTCCCACTGATAAACCCTCAGAACTAAATAATTTTTTCATATGCTTCTGTTCATTTACTTGAAGTAAATCTCACAACATTGTTTTTATAATATATTCTACACCAATTTGATTCATAGGCATTTCTCTCTTTTAACCCACAAATGTGGATTATCTACAACATGACCAAGCAATTCTAATCTGTATCAATTATTTAAAGACTTACAGTCCTTCTTTAATTGAATCTCATCCTTGTTTCCTCAACTGAACTGAATGAATGTGCATGGAATTTCGCAAAAATTAATTTGAATAATAGTGATGGTTAAGATTTCAGGGGAAAGGTTAACTTTCTCATACATTCTATCCATGACTGACAAATATTCATTCCATTTCTCACTCATCAAATATTTGAGCAGATGCCCTGTACCAGGCAGGCAGTGCCCTGAATGCTGAAGATGCCAAGATGAATAAGACCCAAGCCCTGACCTAGAGAAGCTCACTGTGGTAGGAGACAGACATGAAAAACAGTCCTTACAACACTTTGTGATAAATATTATAATTGAGTTATGAACCAAGAGTTATGGGAGTAAATGACTAGGTGTGTCTAAGAGTGAAAAAAAAAAAAGGCTTCTCAGAGCAAGCAGCATTTCAACCTGCTCTAAGGATAATCTTGGTCAAGTAAAGAAGAGGAAAGGGTCTTTGTGTTTTCTTACCTGAACTATGCTACCCCATAAACTCCTGGTTATGCTGCCTCATATGTTTTCCTCTGGCAGTCCATTCTCTATATTGATCTTTCCAAAACACCAACATTACCACTGATTTCTCATCCTTTTCACATTGAATTCAGACCCCTTGGCCAGCATCCAAGGCCTTTGTCATTCTAAGCCCCCACTCAACATTTCCTGCCATGCCTCCCAAGCAGGACATGTGCTCCAGGTGGAAAGGAACTTAAAAGACCCTGGTACCACATGTCACTATGTCTTTTGCATGAGTTTCCTCTACCTCCTGCATGTCATCTAAGCTTCTTTCGATAGCACTTTCTGAATGCCTGTATTAGCACCTATCCACTATACAGGAAAACCTGGTTATCTTATCTGGGTTCATCCAAAAGACCACTGGGTCCATACAGCTTGGCCCAGTGCTTAACACACAACTGTTTCTCAATGTATATTTGGGGCGAATGAATGAAGGAAGGAAACACTGCAATAATTAATGTGGCTAAATTCAAGGGTAAAGGGAGAACCTGGAATGACAGAAGGTACCACTATGTATGAAGATAACTATGCCCCAGATGATACACAACTTGCATTAAGATGCTGCTGCTAAATCTCTCAGAAATACTGTTCTTCACTTGTGCCCAAGAGTATATCATAATCAACAGATTTTTCAGTATCATTTGGTTTTTAAAAAATCATTCTTGGATCATAATAATAAAAGAAAATTTGAGATATCCTGACAGTGGCATCAGAAACACACACACACACACACGCACACGTATATGTATGTATGTGTATATATATTGCTTAAAGTGAAACATAAGTGTAGCTACATCTTCGAAGTCAGGGTTTCTCTGAGGCTTTTGTCTGTGCTATTTCTATTTATTCTTCCTCTCTGCAGCTTTCAGTTGCTATCTATTGGGTCTGAGATCTTTACATCTCTAACTGAGGTCGTAATTTTCATCAAATTTGTTCTAAATGTAATTTGGTACCCAGATTGTACTCTGGAATGGAAAAAGTTCATTAGTGGAAAAACTGGTGAAATGAAAACAAAGTTTGTAGCTTAGTTGATGGTAATATAACTAAGTTCTTGATAATCACAAATGTGCCATAGTTATGTAAGATGGAAACATCCAGGAAAACTGGATTTAAAACTCTCTGGATCTATCTTTGCAACTTTTCTGTACACCTAAAATTATTCCAAATAAAAATTTATTTTTTTTTTTAAAAATTGAAGAACGTTAAGAAGTATGTTCAGAGCATTATATCACCTAGAAATCAAGCTCACTCAAAGACTGACCCATGATATATTATTACAACCCGATATGCCTTAGTCACCTCATACTGCAGGGAATCAATGACTTCCTTAACAAACATCCTTCTGTGCTGCTCTTCCAGACTTACAGGATTTTAGATTTGTATGTTTATTCCAGGGAAAATTCACATGTATCTTGTGTTTTATGCATATTGTCTCCATCTAGAACTGATATTCCCAGGGTCCCTCATTAAGCTAGAAAAGTCGCTGGGAAGTAATCTGTATTCTTTGAATAATAATACTAAATAAGAACAGCTAAATATAAAAAGTAAACATTGACAGTAGAAACTGTTTGGTGGTTTCTTTTTCATTTTTAATATTAGGAATTCATGTGTGTCAGACAATTGAGAAAGTAAAGATAAAACATGTATTTTGTTTTTATTGCTATAAATTAATACTTAATTGTTCTAAGGAAAAAGGGGAACTTTCAATGTACTGTAATTACATGTTAAGATGGCTGTGGAGACAGAAAGAAACGCTGAATTGTGTTATAAGCAGACGTTTCTAAGTAATATCACATAAACAGTACACAGCCTAATGTAGCAGAAAGCATCTTCTGCTTGGCTACTCCAAGGCTTGCGCCTATAAATATACAATCTGCATAAATGAGAACCAGAACTTGTAAGAATCCAGTGACTTGAAATATCAGCCAATTGGCTAGGCACAGTGGCTCACGCCTGTAATCCCTGCACTTTGGGAGGCCGAGATGGGCAGATCACCTGAGGTCAGGAGTTCAAGACCAGCCCGGCCGACATGGGGAAACCCCGTCTTACTAAAAATAAAAATCAGCCAGGTGTGGTGGTGCATGACTGTAATCCCAGCTACACAGGTGGCAGGAGAATTGCTTGAATCCAGGAGCGGAGGTTGCAGTGAACCGACATTGCACCAGCCTGGGTGACAGAGTAAGACTCTGTCTAAATAAAAATAAAAAAATAAAAATAATCCACCCGTTAGAACATCTCAGCTTAATGATGAAGTTATTAAGTGACCCATTCTTCTTCAAGGCTGTTGGCTCCTAACAGGGCCTCTTCTTAATGCCACCAAGAAGATCATTCTCTCTCTGAGAATATACAAAAATATCACTGTAGTATATGAGATTCTGAAATCCATAGGCAAATGGTGTCAAATAAAGAAAGGACTAACCTAAGTGGGAATAATTTTGTTTGACCTCCCCCACAAAGCGACTGGGCAAATGAGATCATATCCATAACCACAGTTTCCAAGTGGCTGGCAGTGCTGTTTCCTGACCAGTTAGAGAAGTGCAAAAAATACAGGTGATCTCACAGGCCGCCTAACAGACCCCTGAATGTTCTCTGGGGTAGTCACAGATGAAAGGAAGGTGGCAGATAAGAGGAGTTTTAAATTACAGATCTCAGTATCAATGTGTGCTTGCTGAAGAGGAGGCCCAGAGGGCGATGAACACACTACAAAGAGCCTCGTGAAGTGGGGCGCAGAATGTGTCCCCTAATCAGCAGACATTCTATTAGAGTGTATTCATTCATTCTGTGCATCCTATTTACAAGAAAACCCAAAATACTTTAAAATAAAAAGAAATATATATATATATACTTATATTCTTTATATATATATTTGACTTAGACACTTACTTTGGAAAAGATCCTTCTGCAATGCATTCCATCACTTGGAAAGTAGGTACTTTGGGTGGGAGTATCGACTGTATGAAAACACAGAAAAGCATTTTTTTTCTTGGAAGAAATTACTAGATGGTGCCCTAGCAGACTGAATTTAGAAGAAAGTGATAATATTTTTACCCAAATTGATATGCTCCTATCTACATTCTGAATATAGCAAATTCAAAAGTCGTCTTTCTTTCCCGAGCTTGCTGTCCCAGTGAACGAGATGAAGTAGATAAGGCACCTCCCATTTTAATGGGCTTGTGAGGTTTCTTCCAGCCTGTGCCATGTTAACAGCACTTGACCTGGCTGAGGAACTCCCTGCTCCTTGAAGCCATTTCTTTCCTTCCCTTCTTTTTCTTACTGGCCACTTTTCTCACACTGATTTGCTGCTGCTTCCTCTTCTCTTCAACCTCGGAACATTGAAGGGATGCAGAACTGGGTTCTGGGACACCCCCTCTAGCTATTTCTCTCCGGAGAAGACACTCTCCAGTCTTACTATTCCATATTCCATTCACGTAGAGAATCATCACTCCCAAATGTATATCTCCAGCCCAAAGGTGTTCCCGGACACTAGATTTAGATGTCCAATTACCTACTCAACATTGCCAAACTAATGCTTAGCAGGCGCCTCAAATTAACATTTGCCAACTAAACTCTTCATCCCCCTACTCTGCTCCTCACACAGGACTCCCTGTTGATATAAATGTCAACGCTGTCCTTCCAGTTGCTGAGACCAAAAGCTGCAGAATCATTTTTGACTTCTCTCTATGACCCGCATTCCCTCCAGAGGCAAATCCCACTGGCCATACCTTCAAAATGCATTCAGTTACTTCTCAGCCCTTCTGCAGAATCACTCTGGTCAAAGCCTGGATGATTTCAGTAGCCTCCTCCTTCCTTCTGTTCTTTCCTCCCACAGAATGGTCTCAACACAGCAGCCTGAGGCTCTTGCCCTTTGTCTCTCAATATCTTACTGACCATTAAAAACTTACTGGAGGGAATGGCTGTCATTCCTGAGAAGACAATTCATAATGGCCTGCAACCTGAATTTGTTTGAAAAGAAGATTCCATATGAACATGTTAGCTAATTAACTCGAAGCATATACTACCGGAGTTGAGCAGAAAGTTACAAACCAATCAGGTTTTGTCTTGTTTTGTTTTGTTTTTTTGAGGTGGAGCCTTGCACTGTCATTGGGCTGGAGTGCAGTGGCGCGATCTCTGCTCACTGTAACCTCCACTTCCTGGGTTCAAGCAATTCGCCTGCCTCACCCTTCCGAGTAGCTGGGATTACAGACATGTGCCACCATGATGGCTAATTTTTATATTTTTAGTAGAGATGGGTTTTCACCATATTGGCCAGGCTGGTCTCAAACTCTGAAACTCAGGTGATCTGCCTGCCTTGACCTCCCAAAGTGCTGGGATTACAGGCATGAGCCACCATGCTTGGCCCATAAATCAATCAATTCTATGCTCTCATTCCCTTAGGAGAAAGTTGAAGCAGAAAAGACTAAATGAGCCTCACCCAGTCCACGGTAGAGCTAGCACCACAGTCAGATTATGTCTCAGGTCTCATTACTTCTCAGAGCGGGGATCCATGAGGATTTGGGATTTTTTCCCAGAATATTTTGCAGGGGATTAATCACATTTTCCCCCAGATCAACTGATTTCATCTTCAGATAATGCATTAATTACAGAGGTTAGATAGCTCCGCTTCATAAAAGGATATGTTGTATGTAACTTCAGTTTAAAATGAAGCACCAGAGTTAATAATATGTTTCTCATGATTTCTAATTCCGTTGAATTTTGAGACCTTTTAGGGAGTGAGCTCATGTTGTTCTCACCAAACTCAGTGAAGAGTTTTCATTGTCAGAAGAAGGGCCCCACCCTCGCCTTTGCTGGCTCTGATCAACGTTAATGCCAAAGCGGCCCTGGTGGTTACGCTGCACTGGGAGCTCTCCAAAGCGAAACTTGGCTGGGTAAACTCTACTCCTCCTTTCTCTCCTAAGAGGCTATATTTGGAGAACCAGTTTGCCCTGCTCATCTTGGGGTTTTGTATTTATTTTTTGACAAATTCCTCCCCAACCATGCCTGGCTTGATATTAAGCTTGAAAATATAGCATGCACATGAATACTAGTGTTTAAATGATTAGTGGTTAGACATCTAAGTATAGTATATATGCATACCTGTCTAAATAGATATTGCTTGGCCTCCCAGGCTCACGTAATTCTCCTGCCTCAGCCTTCCAAGTAGCTGGGACCACAGGCGCACCACCATGGCGAGCTAACTTTTGCATTTTTTGTAGAGACGGGGTTTTGCCATGTTGCCCAGGCTGGTTTCAAACTTCCGGGACCAAGCAATCAGCCCACCTAGGCCTCTCAAAGTGCTGGGATTTCAGGTGTGAACCACCGCACCCACTTTTAAAGTTATTCTTCTACATTTACTGATGACAACTGCTAACTACGTTTAGTCTTTTATTTTGAGATAATATCTTTCGGAATTGTTGGGAGGTTAAAAGTTACATCTATATGTAGAGCAATTTCATAGTGCTTAATACATAGTCAATAAATAATAAATAGTGCACACACTTCTCTAAATGTAAATTTTTAGTAACGCAGTTATAGGGAAACTGGCTATTTATTTCCCTGCTTTAATCAGAAGACTGAATTTGCCAATGCTCTGTTGCATATCAGGTGAGTTGTTGCAAATTCTTTTTGGAACCATACAGACTTTACTTTCTAGTGACTGTAAAAAAGCAAGTCAGTAAAATTGTGGAAGATAATCAGAATTCATCTGTTTGATAAGACTATAGAGTAATGGGACTATTTCTCTTCGATGATTTATGGCAATCAAAATTGGTCATTTAGAACCATACTTTGTGTTTTAAGAACACAACGACTAAGTATCCTGCAAGTTTTAGATAAGACTATTGTGTTAGATGGTAAAAAAGGCATACACATAGTAGACCGGATACCTTAAAATAAGTGCTAAATCTTTTGCAAAATGAAATTGTTATTGACATAGGTCAAGTACCTTCATCACCAAGATGCCTGTGTATCTCTTGGCTGCCTCTACTAAAGGGGTATTAGGTGTTCAAAAGTGAAGACCAGTGGCGCATTTTACTAAATCTAAAATGGTAAAGCTAATTGAATACCGCAAATTAAGAAGAAATCGCCAGCGCGGTGATGTAAGTACACTGTGGAATCAGAATGGAACGTTTGTAAGAGACCTAGACAATTTCCAGTTCAGTCACCTAGCCAGATCATAATATTCTGCTTTAAATATCTGAATGTAGGGGAAATCCCACGTATTTAGTAAATATATATCAGTTCCAGTAACTGAAATTAACGTAGCTTGAGTCTCTAATATTTTTGCTTCCTTGTATTTGCTTTCCTGAATGTCAGACCTGGACCCCTGACGGCATCCCCTGTATTTTCTTGTCTATGTTTTCTCTGAAAGTTTGGCCATTTGCTTAGTTAGTGCCTAGATACTTCTGAATTACTGATCCATTTTACTTTCTCTCCACCCCGCCACTGACTATAAAATACCCTTTATTCAGCATGTTTTACAATCATTGGTAAAATCATAAAAAATAAATGGGCACAAAAAGAAGTCATATCATTCTAGATGTGTGATTTTTATTCATGACACAGGAATGAGAATAGCAGGGAGACCCTGAGCCAGTTCCCCTTCCTTGCCATGTACTATCGCATTAGGAAGTCGAAAAATGGGCTTTGGAGCTGGCTACCATACTAGTTTTACCTGTTTACTCACCCCTGATATCTAGAATTGTCTCCAGATTCAGTGACAATAATAGTAGAAATAGATCGATGGTCATTACATCATTCTACTTTTTGAAACAATTCTGTTTGATCAAGACATAGTACAGATAACACTTTTTTTTAGGCTACTCAAGTCAGAAGGAAGGAGAAAGACCCTTTATAACACCTGCCATAAATATTATAGAACCAACATTCTAAGAAAATTATAGCCAATCTTCTTCAGCTCACTGGGACTGATACAAAGATGCTTCAGGAGCCTGATATCTAGGCAGACATGCTTCAGGAGCCTCATACCACTATCACAATTTCATGTCCTTTCAAAAATTAAATAATAGATTTCTGATTGCCTGAATTATAAAACTGCTGTGTCATCAAGTTAAAAACATTAATCATATTCCAATTGGAAAAATGAGAAATTTTTATCCTAAGAATATTTTTATTCCAAGACAAATTTTGCCAAAATAAGCAACATGTATTGGTGAGATCATAGCCATTTTTAAACTCATATTGTTGAATAGAACACTTATACTTACTTAAATCAGGGCGAGCGTGGTGGCTCAGGCCTATAATCCCAACACTTTGGGCGGCCAAGGCAGATGAATCACGAGATCAGGAGTTTGAGACCAGACTGACCAGCATGGTGAAAAACCATCTCTACTAAAAATACAAAAGGTAGCCAGGTGTGGTAGCGCACCCGTAATCCCAGCTACTCATGAGGCTGAGGCAGGAGAATCACTTGAACCTGGGAGGCAGAGGTTGCAGTGAGCCATTGTGCCACTGCACTCCAGCCTGGGCAACAGAGACAGACTGTCTCAAAAAACAAAAACAAACAAACAAAAACATCCACTTATACTTACTTAAATTAGATAACTCTGTGTTTGGCTGTTCCATAAAATGAATGAACATCTGAATCTCCTAAAAGAAACTTGATAAAATTGCTTTTCTTTTTTTTTTTTGAGACAGAGTTTCGCTCTTGTTACCCAGGCTGGAGTGCAATGGCGCGATCTTGGCTCACCCCAACCTCTGCCCCCTGGGTTCAGGCAATTCTCCTGCCTCAGCCTCCTGAGTAGCTGGGATTACAGGCACACGCCACCGTGCCCAGCTAATTTTTTGTAATTTTTAGTAGAGACGGGGTTTCACCATGTTGACCAGGATGGTCTCGATCTGCCGACCTCGTGATCCACCCGCCCCAGCCTCCCAAAGTGCTGGGATTACAGGCTTGAGCCACTGCGCCCGGCCAAAATTGCTTTTCTATTTATGTGGACCTTACCAATAGGACGGAGGGTTTATCTTTTGCCATGAGATGAGCATTCAGCAGTTACCACTATTTCAAGAAAACTAGTCTGACCTAGGGGAATAAAAAGATTTGGGTCAATCGGGGTGAATATAGTGATTAGTTGGTCTGCAGAAGAGACGGAAACTCTATTGCCAAATTATTTGTAGCCACATTTATGTTCTGATTATAGGAGATAATTGGGCAGGAAAATAAAGAGTTGAAAGAAAAGACTAGGAAGTTGAGCCTAGCGAAGAACCCTGAGCAGAGAGAGAACCAACAGAGGCAGTGGAAGCACTAACATGACCCGACTCATCGTGTACACAACGGTTCCTGGTCTTGCTCTTGCAGACTCCCCACATGTTCTTCTTTCTACCCCATAGCCTCTCCTTCCCACTACTTTCCTGACCTGAGAAAATCTCTAGCAAATTTATAATTTAAAGTTTTAGTTGCTCTCCTAAAGCCTTTTGCTAAGCGTACTAGAACCTTCCTGAAACATCACCTGATTTCATGGATACACCACCGCTCTGCTCCAGCCTTTTGCTTCCCATGCCAACAGACCAGCCACTCTCTGAACAGGCACAAAATCTGTAGATCGCCTCTAAACCACTGTATATTGGGACGTCATCCTAGTAGATTGTGCCGACCCACCTGGGCAGCCTTATATGAATAATTCTCTTTACTGACCTGTAAAAACATAAGGAAGAAACGGCTTTGCCTTTAAGATGCTTTGCCTTAATCGAAGATCTAGAACACATAATCTTGACATAGCTTGAAAAGAATTGTACAGCCGGGCAAGGTGGCTCAAGCCTGTAATCCCAGCACTTTGGGAGGCCGAGGTGGGTGGATCACAAGGTCAACAGATCCAGACCATCCTGGTCAACATGGTGAAACCCCGTCTCTACTAAAAATACAAAAAATTAGCTGGGCATGGTGGTGCGTGCCTGTAATCCCAGCTACTCAGGAGGCTGAGGCAGGAGAATTGCCTGAACCCAGGAGGCGGAGGTTGCGGTGAGCCGAGATCGCGCCATTGCACTCCAGCCTGGGTAATGAGAGTGAAACTCTGTCTCAAAAAAAAAAAAAAAAAAGAAAAGAAAAGAAAAGAATTGTACAGTAGCAAGTCAGCAAATGCACACTGTCCTTCAACATTGAGATAAAGTACAGCAGACATGATAAGAGTACAGGGCAAAAAAAGTGAAAACAACTAAAACATTTCTTTTGAAATTTGTTAAATAATTTATGGGGCATGTATATGGAATAGACTATTACGTAACCATAAAAAGTATGACATTGAAAAGTAACTATTGCTCTGGAAATATATCCACATTATGCAAAGTGAAAAATTTGATATCCAAGAATAAAGAATACACACTGTAATTTTTGTTCAATAAACAATTACATGCAAAATACATACCTGAAGAAAATCTGGAAATATACACAATAAAATAGTAACAGAGGTTATTTTTGGTGTGGGTGTATGGATTTCTTTTCTTTTCTTTTTTTTTTTTTTCTCATGGTTCACTGATGCCTTTTATTTTGAGCAAAAAACCACTGGGGATCTTGCCCGTGGCCACCCCGGAGAAGACACTGGAGGTTCATATTGCTCCAGACACTTAGTGGAAAGCGAGGTGACAAAAACAACGATTTGGGCCAATTACATGACTGCAAAGCTAGGGCTGCCAAGCCCTCCCAAGAGGGCTCCAGGGAGCTTGGCTTCTGTAGAATTTCTAAGGAAGCAGTGCCAACTTCATGGTAGTGGGTGAGGGGAGCTAACTAGCCGGGACCCCTGCAAGTGTTGGTCGGCGGGCCTGGAGCTGCCCGAGCTGACAAGAGGGGCGGAGTCTAATTAGCCAACAGGGACTGAAGGGCTGGCCTGCCCACTGTTTACTTGGCCAGGGGGTTTCTGAAGTTCCCGCCAGCAAACTTAGCCTTGCCGCCCAGCTCCTCTTCAATTCTGACGAGCTGGATGTACTTGGCTAAGCGCTCAGATCGGCAAGGGGCACCAGTCTTGATCTGCTCAGTGCACAGCCCCACCACCAGGTGGGCGATGAAGGCATCTTCAGTCTCCCCAGAACGATGAGACACCATGACGCCCAACCATTGGCCTGGGCCCACTTGCACGCCTGCAGGGACTCGTCACGGAGCTAGTCTGGTTCATTCTGAGCAGGACACAGTTGCAGGGCTTCTCATTCGCAGCCTTGGCAATCCTCTTCGGGTTGGTCACTGTGAGACCATCCCCCACCACCTGGATTCCTGCACTGGCTGTGAACTTCTGCCATGTTCCCCAGTCATCCTGGTCAAAGGGATCTTCGATAGACACCACTGGGTAGTCCTTGATGAAGGACTTGTACAGGTCGGCCAGCTGGTCAGGTGAGATGTACCTGCTGGGGTCATCAGGACACTTGAAGTCCAGGTCATACTTCCCAGACCTGTAGAACTCAGAGGCTGCCACATCCATGCCGATGACCACCTTATCGGTGTAGCCAGCTTTCCCAGTTGCAGTCTTCAGCAGCTCCAGGCCTTCTTTATTCTCCAGGATGTTGGGAGCAAACCCGCCTTCATCACCCACATTGGAGGCATCTTTCCCGTATTTCTCCTTGATGATGTCCTTCAGGTTGTGGTAAACCCCCGCTCCAATGCGCATGGCTTTCCTGAAGTTGGCGGCACCCACTGGGAGGATCATGAACTCCTGCATGGCCAGCTTGTTACCAGTATGGGAACCACCACTGATGACGTTGAATGCCGGCACTGGCAGGATGACTTCGGAGTTCCAAGTGGGCGATGTGACGGACCCCCTTCTCAACAGCACCAGCTTTGCAGACAGCGAGGGACACCCCCAGAATGGCATTCGCACCAAACTTAGATTTATTTTCTGTTCCATCCATCTCGATCATCAGTTTGTCAATCTTCTCTTCTCTGTGACATTCAGTTTCTTGCTAACCAGGGAAGGCGCAATAGTTTTATTGATGTGCTCAACAGCCTTTGAGACACACTTCCCCATATAGCAAGTCTTATCATTGTCCTGGAGCTCTAGGGCCTCCTAGATACCAGTTGAAGCACCCACCACTGGGCACAGCAGCTCTGAAGAGATCTTTTGTGGTGAAGAGATCACCTCGACAGTGGGATTCCCACGAGAGTCAAAGATCTCCCTGGCATGGATCTTGAGAATAGACATGGTGGATTTCTAACCGCAGGGTCTCGTCGCCTGGGAGAGAAGCGGAGAGTGCTGCGGACACCGAGATGAGCATTTAGCCGGAGAGGTCTGTTTGCTCTGGGTCTTCACAGCTTCCCATTTTTTTTTTTTTTTTTTTTTTTTTTGAGACAGAGTTTCACTCTTGTTACCCAGGCTGGAGTGCAATGGCACAATCTCTGCTCACGGCAACCTCTGCCTCCTGGGTTCAGGCAATTCTCCTGCCTCAGCCTCCTGAGTAGCTGGGACTACAGGTGCACGCCACCACTTGTCAGCTAATTTTTGTATTTTTAGTAGAGACAGGGTTTCACCATGTTGGTCAGGCTAGTCTTGAACTCCTGACCTCACAATCGTCCTACCTCAGCCTCTCAAAGTTCTGGGATCACAGGCATGAGCCACCACACCCCAGCCTACTTTTATTTTCGTCTTTATGTT